AGACGACGACTTTTAGTAATAAAGGGGAAAAAAAGAAGCCTGCTCATTAATACTAATTTTTGTTTCAGTGCAGCTGTAGTCTGCAGGAAAAAAAGGAAATGAGACTGAAAAAAGAAAGATAGAGAACGAGTTGTCGTCTCACTAGAGACAGCCAACTAGAAAATGCTCAAAGATCAAGGGAGAGGAAACGAGTTCAGTTTGCGGACATCACAAAAAATGATTACCACCGATCAAGAGAGACTGAGCAAAATTAGCCCGAATTTTCGCGAGAAACACAGAGAATTCGGCAGCTGCTCGTCTTCTGCTCGTTTCTTGGAACTTTGGCTCCAACTTTTCTGCAGCTTGCTGTGATCAATGCTCTCTCTCTCTCTCTCTCTCTCTCCCAAAAAGAAGAATAAAAGCAAGAGAAGACGCTGACAAATAAAAGTTTACTTTTGCCAGCAGCAGTCGTGGACAGTGAATCTCTGGTTGCTAGCCAGTGAATTGAGCTCTAGCATTCACTCCAATTCATCTCAATTCTCTTTGTCTCTGTGTATTCAATGGCAGTAAAACAAAAGGCCAGCAAAATATCTCTTTCTCTTTCTCTCGTGTGTGTGTGTCTGTCTGTTTGTGTGAGTCAATATTTAGACAATGTGCTTTGCCGACTACGACGACGATTTGCTTGAGCAGATTTGGGAAGGTCCTGCTTCTATTCAGCGTTCAGTTCAGTTTAAAAATTTGTACAATAAAACAAAAATTTTAAAAAGGAAAAGTAGGAATAACTGGTCGAGGTCGCTGATTTATTTTGAGTAGGATAGAAAAATAATTCAACTAATGACAACACTTTTAATTGGTGCTTCTAAAAATCTGCAAAGCTTTAGAGCTTTAGTAAAAATGTTTCACTTTTGCTGCCGCTCTCAATTTTAATTCTATTTAATTTTTTATTTGGGGAAATGGTAAAACGAAAAAGACCAAAACTAAAGCTCATATAGTGCATAGATAACCCCTTATTCCCAGGCCCAGTGGATTCACAAAGAAAAAAAGAGAGAAGAAATCCACATCATTACCTCTTTCACATTGGAGTGTTATACACTGAAATCCCAATGGGAAAAAAGAAGAGGAGTGAAAGCATTCTTTTCGGATCTTCTCCGGTGAGCAATGAGAAAGAGCAGGGAGCGAGAATGCGCCAGCAGCAGTAGCACTGGCTTTACCCCTGCTTTTAAAATGAGAGGGTAAAAGAGCTGTCAAACACTTTCTTTCTCTCTCTCTACTCTTCTTCAAGTTTCCACCCCCAACAGCACTACCACTTTGGGATTGATTAGACTGTCGACTGTAGCAGACAACAACAGCAGTGGCAGCAGCATCACACATCAGATAAGAAAAAAGAAAAAACCTTTCGAGAAAGAGAAAAGTGAGAGAGTGAGGAGCTGCAGTTTTTAATTTAGTATTTTGAGATGAAAGATCACAACAACAGCAACTGCAAATGTGAAATGAAGCGTGCAGACAGAGCAGCAGCACAAGAGAACAGGCGCCAAATAATCGCAACCTCGCAAACGCGAGCTCGAAAACGACGAGCGCGGAGGGTAAATTAATTCCGGAAGAGACAGCAGCAGCAGCGGCGGCAGCAGAAGAAAAAGCAAAAAAAGAAAGGAAAAAGTAGTGAGAGATATTAATTTGAAAACTATAGCAACTACTGCAGCGGCAGCAGCAGCAGCAGCCACAGTCCCACTGCCCAAATAGACTGTGGTAGAATTATTTTTTAATTATTAATAGCAAACGAAGAAAATGACGGCGACGACGACGACGTTGTCGGCGATGATGATGATGGTGATGATGGTGATGATGATGAAGAGTGTAGTGAACACTCACTCACTCACTACCATTCACCTAGTCCCATTCCATACCATACCATCATTTCGTTATCTCCCTCTCATTCCTTCTCTTATTGATCAACGGATTACCATTTCCTCTACTCTCACAATGGGCAAAAAACCTTCCAGCAGTATATAGAGAAACACAGACACAGACAACTAAATTTCCAATTTAGCACAGCAGCAGCACTCTCTTTCCCTCTATTTTTTCATTCAGTCATCATCGCTGCTGCTGCTGCTGATGGTGTTCTATTGGAAAGTAATAATATTATATATTTAATTTTAAGTGAGTGCACTTCACGGCTGCTGCTGCTACTGCTGCTACGTCTGTCGAAAGAATATTCTGTACGAGATAGAGGAGCAGACTAAATTAGCATTCTCCCCCTCCCTGCTTACAGAATATTGGGAAGCAGAGTATGTACACCAGCAGAAAATTTAGTTGGGCAAAAAAAATTGAAACGTTGAATCGATTCGATTCTGTTGGCTCAAAACACTGCGTGGAGAGAGAAAGAGATGAAAGGGAAACCCTGCACATTAAAAAACACAGAATACGAGTTTAAATCGATTCACCACTCACTAAATTCTCACTGTCGGGGCTATCGATTGGCAGAAGAGAGAAGAAGAAAAATGTAAACTGTGTCTATTGAGAATTGAGCAGCGTGGAAATCGAATTTTCGATTCTCATGCTCTTCTCTTACTCAATTTTCTGTCTCCTAATACTCAGCTGCTGCAGTAGGCAATTGTAAAATGTAAAACAGACACACACGCTGATGTAAAAGGGCCAGAGATTTCCATTGTGTGTCCATTTTTAAAGTAAACATGACCATTGCTTTTTGCTGTTTGTTGTTGTCTCACTGAACATTCAAACATTAAACATCTTATTCGCGATGCTGTTCGGTAAAAAGCAGCAGCAAAGACAATAAAGAGCTTCCGCAGCTCTTTTCTTAGCACTAAAAATAAACCACTTCCGAGCTTTTTTCCTTGTCTCTACCTTGATTATCCTCCCTCTCTTAAAAACTAAAATAAAACATTGGGAGATCAGCAACGGTAGTGAAAGTCTCGTTAGACAACATTTGTGCTCTACAAAAAAAGGAGAGGAGGTAGTTTCCGGGCAGTCCTCATCGAGCATAGCAGAATTATATTTCGTTGCGTTGTTTTTGCTTTCTCTGCTTTTCAAATTAACAGTCGCCGTTGCTGCTGCTGCTGCTGTTGCGACAATTTAACGCTTCGTTAGATGAGCTGCTGCTGCTGCTGCTGCTGAGGCTTTGTCTGCATTGCCTTTTTTTCCGACTCGAGGCCGCCGAAATTGCGACATACAAAAAGTCGAAAAAAATGGTCGCCAGATTCAGAGGCAGCTCTGAAGAGCTCTGCTCTGCTCTCAGCCGTAAATCAGCTCTGAATATATAGAGAAAGAGTCAGAGATTGGAGAGAGCAGGGGAGTTAATTAACGGCAATTAGAGGCAGCAGCAGTCGTCGAGCAGACGAGTCGTCAGTCAGTGGATTCAGTGCTCTTCCAGATAGAGTTTGAGAGAGTAGTTGCCTGTTCAAACAGACACACTGGCTGGCTGGCTTTTAATATATTATCGACAGTAAGAGTAAAGCTAAAGCCAACTCGAGCCAACTCAGTGTCTGCCCGCAGGGCTGGCAAGCACTTGCAAGAGAATCGAATTGAGAGCAACAACAACAACAGCAAAAGAGTAAAGAGGAAAGGGAAAAGGAAAAGGGGCTGATGAGCGCCAATGTAGAACATCCTCAAAGCAAATAGTCGACGACGAGTGGCAAATAGTCAATTGAGAGAAAGTAGAAAAAAGGAAAACAAATTGTCTGTCTGGCAGGCTTATTGCTAAAAATAAAAGAGTAAAAGAAAGTAAAACTGTGCGCTTCGCAAAGATCAGCATTGGTGGTGGTGGTGGTAGGGGGGAAATATTTGCGATAAATAAAAAGAGGGTATAGAGAAAGATCGCGCAGCTAAAAATTTCAAGTGCTACATTTTTTAATTCTTAAAATTATAAGAAAAGAGAGTAAAAATGACCACTTACCAAAAATGTTCCTCTTCAACACACACACACTAGGACCGCCGCTGGACATTGGCATGGACCTGACGATCGCCAGCTTCGACAGCATCTCCGAGGTGAACATGGTAAGTGGTGGTGGGACGGTAATGTTGAAATAGTTCATCGTAGAAAGAGGAGTGAAGAGAGGAAAGTAGAGTCCAAAATTCAAAAAGCCTCTTCTAAAAGCTCTCAGTCGAGGGAGACTTGCAAATGTCTGCTGAAGAGGAATTTTGTTTAGCACATTTCTCCGCCAGCCACTGGCTCTTGAGGACGGCGGAAAGAGGTGGCCGATCCTCAGGCTTCACCGCCATCAGCGAGTTCATGAGNGGGGGGGGGGGTAATGTTGAAATAGTTCATCGTAGAAAGGAGTGGAGAGAGGAAAGTAGAGTCCAAAATTTGAAAAGCCTTCTAAAAGCTCTCAGTCGAGGGAGACTTGCAAATGTCTGCTGAAGAGGAATTTTGTTTAGCACATTTCTCCGCCAGCCACTGGCTCTTGAGGACGGCGGAAAGAGGTGGCCGATCCTCAGGCTTCACCGCCATCAGCGAGTTCATGAGCGCCTGAGCCCCATTGCTCACCGCCGACTTCTTCTTTGGTTTTCCACCACTATTTCCACTCTTCCCACCTCGCTCCAGCAGTGGATAGCAGAGGGCCGTTTCCACCTTCAGGCGGCGGTAGCGGTCGATGAGGGCGCCCACTGATAGGGCTGAAGTTGAAGCGCTGTCCTCCGCCTCCTCGGCTACGACAAAGGGCGCCACGCCGTGGAGGGTAAAGTAGAGCAGGGCGCCGAGGCTGTACAGGTCGCTCTTGACGGCGTCGTAGAAGAGACAGGGCGCCAGCAGCTCCGGCGCCATGAACTCCAGCGAGCCCTTGTGGCTGGTGCAGAGGGCGACGGGCGCTTTAGACTCTGGATCCTCCGGCGGGTCCTCGATGAGGGCGGCAAAGCCAAAGTCGATCAGTTTCAGCTTCAAACTGAATCCTTGTCCTTCTCCTTTCTCCTTCCCCTTCTTCCCCACTGAGATCATCACATTCTCCGGCTTCAGGTCTCGGTGGACGACGGCGAGGCGGTGGTGGAGGTGCTCCAGGGCGGCGACCAGCTGGGAAAAGAGTTGGGCCGACTGAGATTCAGGCAGGCGGCCCTGGGGACGGGCCACTTTGGCGAGGAAAGAGGCCAGGTGGTAGCGGCCGGCGTCGGCCATTAGCAGCCAAAGTTGGCCTGAGGGGGAGGAGGTGAAGGACTCGAGGTGAAGAATGGTGACCAGGTTTGGGTGAGGATTGGTCTAGGAAAGAGAAGTTAGAAAAAGGAAATAGAAAGAACAAGTTCAGCTTACCTGAACCTTTCGGCAGACGGCCAGCTCGGCGGCGTAGTTCGACGCCTTCGGACAGCGACCCTGGTCGACGATCTTCAGGGCAATCATCTCCTTCTCCTTCTTCTGATGAGCTCCTGAAAATAGGCGCCCCACCTTCTCAGCGCCGACCACCGAAACCAGGTAGACGTCGGCGTAGTAGCCGCCGCCCAGGCGACAGGCGCCTCCTTTTGAGCCGAAGGAGAGGCCAAAGGAGTGAACAAAGGCGCGACGAAGTGGGTCAGCGGCTATGGCCGCCTCCAACTTGGCCATAACTTTTGCAGGGTCAGAATCTTCGAATGATGATGATGATTTGGGTGGTGGGCCGCCGAGCATGGTCGCCTCAGGTGGAGCGGCGGCGCCGGCGCAGTTGAAGGGAAAGTCGGACATGTTTCGAAAGTAGTAGAAGTCGAAATTGTCGAAGTTGGCTCAAGATCGAGGTAAAACGCTTGTGAAGGCTCCTCAAAAAGCTGACGCTAAAAGAAAGAAGTTGAAGTTGATGAGTTGGCAGTTAGGATGTAATTTAAAAAGAGAGCTGTGATTACGTGTGCTTGCGCGCCATTTCGAACTTCTTTGTCCTCGTCATCATCTGATTCTCAATTCTTGATTCATCTTCTTCATCATCACCAGGACTACACCTTGACGCTGTACCTGCACCAGTACTGGAAGGACGACCGCCTCGCCTTCAGCCAGGACAACAGCGTCGAGCTGACGCTGTCGGGCGACTTTGCCGAGCGCATCTGGGTGCCGGATACTTTGTAAGTGTGCTCTTGAGCTTGTCGATTGACCAATCTTGTTGATGTCTTCTATTTCTTGACGACAGCTTCGCCAACGACAAGAACTCCTTCCTTCACGAGGTGACGGAGAAGAACAAGATGGTTCGCCTCAAGTCGGATGGATCCATCTCTTATGGAATGAGGTAAATGTGATGAGCAAAATAGAAACGAAAAAAACAAAAACCAAAAGATCTGGTAAAACGCCTAAACCAGTCAAAATAGCCCCCCATCGCTGGTGGATGAAAATAGATTTTCAAAGTTAAGCCCAAAATACCAAATTTCCAAAAACATTAATTTTCATCTTATTTTCACACTATCTCATTTTTCACCACCACCAAAACAGATTCACCACCACCCTCGCCTGCATGATGGACCTGCACTACTACCCACTCGATTCGCAGAACTGCACCGTAGAGATTGAAAGCTGTACGTAAACATCTCCTTCTTTAAACTCCCGTTCTGGAGTTCAACTAACACTTCTTTTTTTCCATCAGACGGCTACACCGTCTCCGACGTGGTGATGTACTGGACGGACACCCCGGTGAACGGCGTCAAGAACGTCAAACTGCCCCAGTTCACCATCGTCGGCCACGAAACCACCGACCGGAAGGAGTCCCTCGCCACGGGCACCTACCAGCGCCTGTCCCTCCTCTTCAGCCTCAAGCGGAACATCGGCTACTTCATCTTCCAAACCTACCTGCCCTCCATCCTCATCGTCATGCTCAGCTGGGTGAGCTTTTGGATCAACCACGAGGCCACTTCCGCTCGAGTGGCCCTCGGCATCACCACCGTCCTCACCATGACCACCATCAGCACGGGAGTTCGCAGCTCGCTGCCGCGGATCAGCTACGTCAAGGCCATTGACATCTACCTGGTGATGTGCTTCGTCTTCGTCTTCGCCGCCCTGCTCGAGTACGCCGCCGTCAACTACACCTA